GGCGGCGCGCCGGGTACGTTGGACGCCAGGTGAGGTGACGTCATCAGAGTGCGCCCGGCCCGGCCCGGCCCGGCTCGGGGCGGGGCGCGGGGCGGCCGTTGGAGCGCAGGCGCGGTTGGCGGGGGAGGGCGGCCGGCATGGGGAACGGGGGGAGGCCCCGCAGGGGGGCTGGGAGGATCGGGGCTTTCACGCTGCTTACGAGTGGGGGCGGCTGTCGATCCCGGGGCGTCATGGCATCCACCAACCTCCACAGCGTCAGGAGACGCTCTGCCTGGCAGAGAAGGCCCTGGGGGTGTTGGTCGACTGTCGGCTGAACATGAGCCAGCAGTGTGCCCGGGTGTCCAAGAAAGCCAACAGCATCCTGGCCTGTATCAGGAATAGTGTGGTGAGTAGGGCCCGAGAGGTGATCATCCCCCTGTACTCGGCACTGGTGAGGCCTCACCTCGAGTGCTGTGTCCAGTTTTGGGCCCCCCACCACAAAAAAGACATTGAGGTGCTGGAGCGGGTCCAGAGAAGGGCAACAAAGCTGGTGAGGGGTCTGGAGAATAAGTCTTATGAGGAGAGGCTGAGGGAGCTGGGGTTGTTCAGTCTGGGGAAGAGGAGGCTGAGGGGAGACCTTCTCGCTCTCTACAACTACCTGAAAGGAGGGTGTAGAGGGGCGGGGGTCAGTCTCTTCTCCCAAGTCACAGGAGATAGGACAAGGGGAAATGGGTTCAAGTTGCGCCAGGGGAGGTTTAGACTGGACATTAGGAAACAATTCTTCACAGAGAGAGTGGTCGGGCATTGGAACAGGCTGCCCAGGGAGGTGGTTGAGTCACCATCCCTGGCTGTGTTTAAGAACCGTTTAGATGTAGTGTTGGGGGATATGGTGTAGGGGAGTACTTTAGAGTAGGGTGGATGGCTGGACTCGATGATCCCGAGGGTGTCTTCCAGCCTAGATAATTCTGTGAGACCTCTGCTTTTGTAGGAGGTGTAACGGATTTTCCCGGCGTTAGGGGCGTTCCGTGGAAGATGTTCAGCGCTTAAAGTGAGGAAGTTTGCCGAAGCCTTCGGTTGTACCTGCTGAAGCACTTGCTCCGGGAGTTCCCTGAGTTGAAGCAACTGGACACTGCGTTGGACCATCCTGGGGGTGCGCGCTCAGTCTTTGCCGGGTCTGCCATTAAGCACCCTCCAGCCCTGATCACCCCTACAGGAACACTGCCCGGGCCCCGTGCACAGTTTTGAGCTTATCCCCTCGCAACGTACATCATCTGAAAAGCTTGTGGTACCTTGCTAAGGGAGATACAGTGAATATAAGGTTGGAAAATAAATAGCAAGTTTTCTTTGATCAAGCCTTTACTTCTATAGGGGCGTTCTTGTCTCCTGTTCTGCAAGGTAACTTCTGTATGGGTCACGCCAGAGACCTTGCTCCTCACACCTCCTCACTGGGAATAAATTGGACAGTTTTCTATTTCTTTATGGTGTTACCTCTAATAAATTGCATTCGAAATGATAATTTGCAGAGTCTGAATGCCCTTCTTATGGGTGCCATAGTGGGTCCTGGTACAAAACAGAGGGAATTCTGACTTGTGTTTTCTTTGATAACTTAGGAAGAGCGTTCAGCTAGTCAAATTCCCACTCTAAGCTGAAGTTGGAGGGTTGTCATCAGGGGGACAGAAATGCAGAGGGCTTTCTGCAACGTATGCAGAGATTAAATCAAGGACCGAGAGAATATGATAGAAGACAATGGAAAGCAGCCAGCCAAGTGTCCTGGTTCTGGCGGGCATGGGGTTAATTTTCACAGGAACCAGACAGGAGCAGACTGACCCGAACAAGGCAAACAGGTATTTGGTACCATGTGACTGATGTACTCAGTATATAGCCAGGGAGCCAAGGGAGAGGGCAGAAATGGAAAATCAAAGCCTGGGAGGTAGCTCAGCTTAAGGTTCCAGTCAGTGAGTGGTAACATGTTAACTGTGTTTTGTATATTCCTCGATCAGTACTACTGCTGTTGTTTTCCTCTTCACTGTTCTGTTGAACTGCCTTTATCTCAATCCATGAGTTTCACCTTTTTCTTTGCTTCCGATTCCTCCCCCCGCCCATCCTGCCGCTGTGGGGGGAGTGAGTTCTTTCTTGTCAGCTGGGGCTAAACCATGACATCAAGTGAGAGTGGGAATTTCTAGTATAAATTAAATGAAAGTGTATTAGACTGGCAGCTCTTCTAGCAGCTTTGTGGCTTTGGGATATTCCACCAGCAACACTCGCTTTCTGGCACTACTGAGTCAATTAGATGGGAAAATTCATCCAAGCAGGACACTGAGGCCTCTTCCCACAGGACACTTGAGCCGTTTCTTCCTTCCTCCCCTCAATCCTTGGCCAAACAACACATAAGGCCATGGGTCTTCACAAGTCTTGAGATCAGGCCTGCCCTGGATTAACAAGCATCAGCTCTCTAGTAATCTTCAAAACTAGGCTTTTATTTCTTCAGGACTGTGAATGTCCTTCTCCTGTATTCAGCCCCCTTGAGGTGCCTGTTGCTTGCAAGGTCGCCACTGTGGGACCTGTTGGCAGCCAGACACTTTGCAAGAAGTCTGTTAGCTGTGGGAAATGGCAGAGCGAAAGAAAGTGTTGCAAGACTATAGGCAGTCTGCCTATTTCAGTTGGAGCAAACATACTGTTGGAGGGTAGAGGCAATTATAAGTCCCATTCTTCTTGCTTGAATGCTCCGGTACTGCAGCTCTTATTAGCCAGTGCTCTGCCCTGCCTGCCTTGCTGTGTCTCTCTGCTCCTGGCTGGCCGTCCACTCCCTAACATGTTATACCAAAATGTACACCTACTTGTGATTGCTCCAAATGTGGGAAGTGTTACCCGAATGGTTTCTTTCTCCCTGTAATACAACTTCACGAAGACTAGAAGTGGGAAGAGCAAAGTTGGTTTGACTTGTGTCAGTGTGGCGGTGTGGTCTCTCTGTTTTGCTTCCCTTCCCCCATCCCCTCCCCAGGCTCCTGCTCGGGCCTTGGCCACCATGGCCATCACAACATCAGTTGTGATAACTTGCACCTGGACTTCGGAGGATGACTGGCAACACAGCCATAACACTGTCTGGAGTGGGGACCTAGATATTTTGTTCCCATTAGAATATGACTGACTATAGGTCAATTGTCTTACTGTATAAATAGTGGACAGCCCAAGAGCCCTTTGAGCTCTCCTGTATGGCAGCGGGCTGCACGCCAGGATCTCCACTTTTGTGAGGACACTCACTTAAGGTTCTACTCCTCGAGGTTGAGATTCCTTGCCACAACAGATTCTCGGTAAGTGACTAATAGCATGCTAAACTTTGAAATTTTATCTAAGTAATGTAAAGGATTGATTGCGCATCTATGATCCTTTAGACATAAACCGTTGACCAAGTCTGGGACTAGGATTGGATCCAGCCGCACCCAGACTCCTCTCTGAGAAGGAGTTTAGAAAGCAAGGGGGTCCTTTCTGAACCACGTGTCTCAACAGGACAGCTTGTCTGACCCTGTTCTCTGTGCAGTAAATAATAGAGTGTACCTTGACATCATATCTTGTAAAACACTATCGCATTTACTACTGGTTTTATCACACTTACTACTGATTTTGTTAAATCACTGTTTCACCTTAATAAATATTTCACTACTTCACTCTAACTAGTAAAGTTGATCACTCCGTCCACGACAGTCAGCTAACCAGTTACCATCTCTCCAGCTGCCTAAAAGCTCCCAGTGTATATAGGTGCCTATTAAGGTTTCTTATAGGTGTCTTTCTTCTTAATGAAAGAAAAAAAGCATCTGGGATATGCAGCTTTGTGATGGGGAGACTATAATACATCACAAAGCCTGTATCTGTTTTCCACTTTTTTTTTTTTTTTTTTTCCAAAAAGTTAGAATTTTAGTTCAATGCTTATCCTTTGAAAGTGTTTTGTAGGTCTTCCCTGCAAGTCAGCATGGAGATCCCCTGCCCTCTTATCACCAGGCAGAAGGAGGGGAACCAGGAGAGGAAGATGAGGAATGGAAGCAGGTACCTGCTCAGGGCAGCAGGAGAGTCCCCTCCAGAGTCCCCTCCCCCACTTTCCCAGGTGCCCATACAGAACAGATATGGGCCTCTGGAGATAGAGGATGAGGGAATTGATGATTCTGATAAAGCCACATCCCAGGAGCTGCCAAAGCAGCCAGCTCCACACATAAAGACTGCTTCTGTGAAGAGCAAGAGGAGGGCAATGGTTATAGGAGGTTCCCTTCTGAGGGGAACTGAGGGTCCCATATGCCAGCTGGACCCTTCCTACAGGGAGGTCTGCTGCCTCCCTAGTCCCCTCCCCCACTTTCCCAGGTGCCCATACAGAACAGATATGGGCCTCTGGAGATAGAGGATGAGGGAATTGATGATTCTGATAAAGCCACATCCCAGGAGCTGCCAAAGCAGCCAGCTCCACACATAAAGACTGCTTCTGTGAAGAGCAAGAGGAGGGCAATGGTTATAGGAG